AAAATACGTGAAACTCATTAGTTATTAGGTGGCTTCAAAAATATTTATCCCCACAGAACCCTGTAAACATAAACAAATTTTATGGTTCCCTCGATGTGGGCAATAGGCGACCGCCTCATCTGACACTCCTCAGGGCCAACCCTGTATTACGTAGAAAAACGCACTGCCAACCCATTTTTACCATAGTCTGGGGCTTTGTAGTCTGAATTATCACAGTGTATATGCATGCAAACTCTGTCTATTTTCTTACTTGTATCACTATAAATCGGACAGAGGTCGCACTTGGTGCGATGGCAAGTGCCTTCGCCCATAAGCGGTAGGTCTCGGGTTCGAGACTTGGGAGCAGCCTCTCCATAAATGGGGGTAAGGCTAGCCGACATTCACCTCTCCCAGACCCTGAATATAGCGGGAGCCTTGTGCACTGGGTACGACCTTTTATCACTATAAATCGGACAAGATGGAGTAAACATTTCAATTTCTATGGAAGATTAAGTTTACCAACAAAGTTTGAGCAAACAAGAGAAGATCCTGAATAAGTATCATACAACATAATGGAAGATTAAACTCTCTCTGCTTCCTGTGTACAATGATTCTTGATGACATTAAAACTAAAATCATCTACATAGGTTGTTCTGGTGGCGGTGTAGCTGCTGCAAGATCAGTGTCTTGTTTCTGTAATGCCGGGCTGACGCATGAGAAGATTGATTGCTTTTGCCTTCTCAGCTTAATCCCAAACAAGAAGGACCGCAAGGGAATACGAGCCTTGCTCGTTGAGCGTTGGGGATTATTAATGCTTTTTGATACCGAAATCCCAAGTTCCCCATCTAGTCTTGCTAGCGTCTTCTCGACCTCAACCTTGAGCCCTTTAACTCGGTTAAGACCTGCCTGCAATTCATCTGCAACCTTATTATTCTCCTGCTTCATGTTGAGAACCTCGCCTTGAAACTTTGCCGCTTGATATTTGCTTATGAGCTCCATTTTTTCCCCTTCTGAGCCTAAATTAGAGAGCCTCGATATCTCGTCTTGAATGTGGCACAAGGATAAGAATCTACCCTGCAAGTCATCTTTCAGTACTGCATTGTGTTCCAGCCATAATGACAGTTCCGTTTGTATCTCTCTCAGGTGTCGGTATATTGGCCTGGCATCCGATTGTAGAGCTTGTCCATCACGCTTCTTTTTGTTCCTTAGTTTCAACAGCTCAGACTGTAAATCCTGTATCGAAGTCTGGAATTTTGCATCTGGTGAACCGAGGTACTAAACCTCAACCAGAATTCTAAATTCTCTTCCAGCAACTCATCAATGTCTGAACGGAACCTTCCTTCGATTGCTGAAACAGAATGAGGTCTAACGGTGGTTTTTCTCCTCATTATTCTTTCTTCCTCCTTTCTCGGCGAGACCTTTGAGTTTCCTGACGAGTCCTCAAATTTCTCTGTTCCTTGTTCACCAAGGTAATTGGAAATCATCTCTTTGTCCAAATTTAGTGATGCAACAGTTGAGTATGGGCATGCAACGACTTGGCTTGGACTCTCGAGGGGGCCTTCCTGAGTTGGATATTTATATACTGTCGCAGGACTGTCATCCGGATTTGTTTCTGGGGAGCTGGCTTTTTGCTTCAAAAGTTTAATCTCTTTGTCCTTGGAGGCAACAACACCCCTTAATTCCCTAATCTCCATTGCTAAATCGAAGATGTTATCCCGGTTTTTCTTCTCCACGTCGCTCAGCTTCCTCCTTGCATCCTTGTAATCGCGGAGAATTGAAGTATACTCCTCCAGCAGAACCTTTTCTCTATCCTCTAACCCTTTCAGGAACAGCTGTCTCCAGTTTGGCTGGTCTTCCTTTTCCAATTCCAACTCTTGTGGATCAACAACCTCAGCCGAATCTTGTCTCTCTTGTTGTTCCTGAGGCATTGGTTGGTCTGATTGCTTTTCTTCTTCGTCTTCTGCCTTGACAGAAGTTTCGAGAATCGTAACATCCTCTTTCTTAACTTCACCGTTTGTCACTTTGTCTTCCAAGACCACTGAATCATCATCAAGAACCGCCTTTTCTGAATCTTCTTCAATCTCTTTTTCGGGTTTGGCATAAACTGTTTTCACATCCTGGAACAGTCCGACGTTCTCATCCTCATCTTCGTGCTTCACGCTATTCAGTTTTCCAGACAGATGGTCAAGGTTACAGCTAGCTTCTGTGAAATGTGCTTGGAGGTTTTTATTCTGGTCCTCCACACTTCTGTTTAAATTTCTAATTCTTCGTAGTTCCTCCTCTAACTCCTTTAGCCGTTTGCTCATCTTTTCCGCATTTTCCATCAAAGTCTCCTTTTCCTCTTCCAAGTTCCGAGCGTGCGCCTGAAGCTGATCGGTTTCTAATTTTAATCTATTTACTAGAGCATTCTGAGAAGTGACTGCAGTTTCCAGATTCACAATCTTGTTCACAAGTCCATCAATTTTCTCTGCCAGTTCTGTCATAGAAATTGAGGTATTTGAATTCGTATCGAGCTGTTCCAGAACCTTAGACCGCAATGAGTCCTGATCATCATGTCTCTCTTGGTCTAGACTCAATGACTCTACATCAATGTTCTCATAATCATACTCATCAGTATCGCTCCAGTCTGCGTGTTTCAAACGGAATTCATTTCTGAGGCTCTCAAACTTGGTGCAGACTTCTCTAACCCGTTGGCTCTCAGCTCTGGCGTCTTCTTCTGATCTCTCTTTCTTCTCCTGCATCTTTGTCAAGCTGTCTTTGCATGATTTCAAAGCTGTGGCAGCCATCAAAGTTCGAGCTTCATTGTCTTCGATAACAGTGCCAATTCCATACTCATCTTGCAAGTTGCAAACTCTTTTTTGCATATCAGTGATCTGGTTTTCAAACTCCCAGTACCTGTCATATCCGCGTTCGAACAAGATCTTCACAAACTCTTTTTCTGTCTGCAGCGCCAAAATATCCTTCTGAAGCTTATCGATTTCTTCCAACGCCTCATCTTTGGTCAGTCCTGACCTCAAAGTAACAGCTAGGGCAGCTTTAGCAGAGCTTGTATTTCGCTTAAGCGTGCCCTTCCTTGATAACATGGATTTGCTCCTGAAATCTTTGGGGGCCTTGGGGACTTTTGGAATGTTTTTGGATGCATTCGGCGACGCTTTGTTAGGAACGTCCGAAGAAGTTGATGCCTGAGAAGCAATCTCATCATCCTCGTCCTCCATTGCATATTGAACTCGCTCCGGAAAAACTGTGGCAATGGTGCGGTTGGCACTCTGCATATCTCTTGACAAGTGATCGTATCGCTCTGCTAATGCTCGGTAGGCGCGAAAAGATTCTTCGACAAAGACAACTAGCTCCGGCCTCTTCCTGTAATACATTTCTGCCCTCTTTGCAAAGGAGTCCCCATCATCATCGATGATTTTCAATGTATTATGCACCTTTTCCTCCATATCTGCAATTCGAATCACAAATTATCAATGATGCGTGAATCTATATAAATGATGAATTAGGCTAGTTGGCTAGGGCAGTGAGCTCTCGCTCTCTTGTGCCCCAAGTTCGATTCTTCTTCCTCATAAATCAGAGTATTTTAAGATATCGTCTCGTAATAACAAAAACATATAGAAAAGAGGCACCATTTGCTCCATATCAATTGAAAACGTGGGGAAGAAATGTCAAAACTAAAAGGAAGACCAAATGGATCAAAATCTCTTATATTTACACACACACACACACACACACACTCACTCACCTTGGAGGTTCTGTTCAAGCCATTTGGACTGCTTTGTCCTGATGTGGCTGGCCCACCACCATGAATATGCATTGCCTGCTGCTCTATGCAACATTCTCCCTCTCTCCCTCTCTCTCTTCCTCTCTCTCTCTCTCTCTCTCTCTCAACAAAACCGATGATCACATGAAGAAACCCATTAAACACAAAATCTAAGCACAATGGAGGATTCAATCATCAGAGGAAAACCCAAATCACGCAACAATGGGAAAAGCCAGAAAATGATTAATCAACCATGATCCCATGATTACTGAAGGAATTAATCAAAGATTAAGAGAAGTAATCACACACAGCTTTGACAAATGACTTGGTAAAGACCAGACATTGGAGGAGATGATACTTCGCCTGAGTTATAGGTGTTGGGAAAGCTAAAAAAATGCAAAAGCCCTCAGTGAGGCTGTCCACGTGGCGTTCCCTGAGCTTGCCAGGTTGGTAGTGTCCCCGGGGAAAAGAGTGAGAGCCCATGAATTCCCTTAATATTTTAGTTTTGGATACTTCTCTTGTTTTGCCTAATTTTTGTTGCAAAATACAAGCTGGAGTCCCTATCTTGTTCCCTTTTTTCGGTAATAACTAGGTTTTTTACTATTTTTGGAAGAGTTTCATCTTCTTCTAGGTTCATGTTTATCAGTTTATAGTTACTGGTTTTATTACCGTTGCAACTGCCATGGAATGTTCTAGGAAAAATATTTCACACTTTAATTACTAGTATATAAACAGTTAGTTTATGAAAATTAATGACGAAGTAACGTGACACCAAAAGGCACGTCACGAGCACACATGGGTGCTAGCCAACAATCCATTGACTAACACAGTGTGCTCTCTATTGACAAGAAATGTGATCTTAGTTTGGTTCAATGCAGATTAACCTATTTAAAAACTACATAAAACCAAATCGAAATGACTATTTTAATCATATATTTTTCGTTAAAAATTGGTATTTCATCACCGGAATGGAGAATTTGAACTTGGAATTTTTAACAAGAAAGTACCATTGAACTAAAAGCTAGTTGATCATCGTCAGTTTCATTTTTGAGTATTGAACTTTGATGCTAGTTGGTGTCAATTTGAAACCCCTTCTTTTGGATGAGATTATGTCACTCATCACTTAACACCTATATTCCAAGGAAATTATCTAATTGGGTTCGAAAGTGATCTTACATGCTTCAAGGATTTGTTGAGAGAGAGAGAGAGAGAGAGAGAGAGAGAGAGAGAGAGAGATAGAGAGAGAGAGGGAGCTATCACATTATTTACAAGTTTTTTTCTTATAAATATTATTCACAAATTGTTTACAACATGACATATATTACAATAAGATTGGGAAGAAGCTCTGAGAGAGTCATTAGTTTCTATACACATACTATTTACACTTTCTAACAAATTATTTACAAACAAATATTAGGGTAAAGCATTAAGCTGCCTACCTCTCATTCTTTCACATTTTTTTACATCCAACAATCACAATCAACGCAAACAATTCACATATCCCACATACCATCTGTTCTCTTCTTTCCCTTTTCTCATTTTTCTTCATTTTCTTAAGAGTTTCTCAAGCCAAAACTTTTTTTTTTTCGTTTTCGAGATTTTAGCTATACACACAGTAGTACCATACTTAATTTTGAAATGCGAGAAAGACACTAGCAGCAGCGTTATTCCCAGCCAATCCCATGGCAGAGGAAGCACGAAACCAAACCACCTTCCAGCAATAGTGGCACTAGAATCCTCCATAATACTCCATGTCTGCTAATCAAAGTTATATTAGCCAGTCCCGTACTACTAATAATTACATCAAACTAGGCTCGTATCCATTTCATCCGGCATCAGCTGTTCCTCAGAGAAGAGAGCCACTCCTCCATATATTTTGTGCTCTCTGCACAACGAAGAAAAATGCAAAGAACAAATCAGCACTCGACGTTCATTTTACTTTCAAAAAGCATTTTGCTAGTGAGATATATTTTTCTTTTGCATATGACTAGACCACAATTGCATCTCAATAAGAAAGCTGAATACCAATTACCACAAACAGTAGTCCAATCTATATATACCCACCACTTCATGACACACTATGGCAAACAAGCAGGAAATAGACAGACATGATAAGATTAACAAAGTATGCGACTCTAGTGGAACAATGAGGAAAATGACCAGCAAAACAAAGCCCATAAGTTCCTGGTAAACACCACAAATAGGAGCAATGATAATACCAATGAATTCACCATGCCCCCATTCTATCTACCAAGTACATTTGTCTCTCAGATCTGAAGACATCAATGCAAGGAACAAGGACTACTCAAACAAACTCATAATAAAAGTAAAGTATCATCTTCATTAGCTTAGAGGATGTGACAACCAAGTGAACTGAACCTCCCTTCCCAACAACTCCAATCCAAATCGAAAGATAAGAGCTTCATTACTACTATAATAATTGCCAAATACCGAAATATAAATATTCAGCAGCAAAAAACATCTACTAAAGATATAAGAGGTGTCAAATCACATAAAATGGAACCTGGACAATGTCATATATAAAAAATTCAGGAAATATTTGAGACCATGCATCCATTTCTTATAAAGTTGGTGTCTGAATGCTTGCTTCCTATTATTTCCATTGAGGTTTCAACTAAAAATGTATAGTTGAACTGCAGCATCGATATAATGACTGGTAAAATTTAGTGAACATAAAATATGTAAGGAAATCTGGACAAAATGAGAGGAAAGAAATAGAGGAAGTCAAGCTTAGGTAAATTGAGCTAAATTTCAGGCCATTAACTTTTACGATCATATATAGACTTAAGATCTCATTGTATGTGATATGTGTTTACCGTGTAGCACTCAAGTTGTGCAATATCTATTGGCTATCAAGTCCAGAAAAAGGCCAGTTTCCTAAAACTTATGGCCTGTCAAGACCAAACTCTGTCCTTAAACCAAAACTCATGCTACCTCATCTCAGTAAACACATGGCTTACTGATGCTGTTGCCCCTAACCCCCAATGTTAGATGATCACTGACTAGGCATCTAAATTCTGCAACATTAACTCAAGATCATAACAACTTCTGATCCTCGGATATAATTCATGTATCAGATCCAATGACAGTAACAATTAAACCAACTTATAGTCAACGAGAATCACTTCCTTTTTTTTTCCCAGAATAACAACTGGCGTATTTAAGAGTGTTTCCAGAATTGGAATTGCAAAATCAAATCAACAGAAGCACAAGACCCTTTTCTAAAGAGGTCCAACAATCTAAAGGTACTCAACCTCTAAACCGGAGGTTAAATTTAAACATTTTCATATCAACTATCATATAAGTAGGATACATGAAATGAAAGCATTACTTAAAAAGCACCTCTTTTTTTTTTTGTAAAAAGAGATAAATAGGCGTATAAGACATAAGCTCTTACCATCTGAATAACCATCTGGGATGTTCCCAACTGTGCTCAAGATATTGTTATTGGAATCCTTCACCATATCATGAATAACATGCCCATAGCATGGAACCAGCACGGCAAAACTATCGTCTGCATCGTCATCACTCTGGAACCCAGGTCCAAGAGGCTCCAACCATCCAACTGACCAATCCGAGTCCACGGACTCAGAACCAGAAACACATCCACCCTCAGATGGCACAAGAACGACATCATATTCCCTATCAATTTTCCGTTCTTCCCGACTATGCCATCTGCGTTTCACCCTTCTCGACGATGATGAGGCCATATTTGACCCCTTCACCGAAGGAAACTTTAACGCATCAGTTTCCCGCATGCCCGAGTCAGGGGAAGAATTTAAAGAGGACCCCTTTGGGATTCTAGGCTCTTTTTGCTTTCCACTCCACAACCACCATGAAAGCATTCTACAGAAAGATCTCCTTCCAGTTGCGTTAAGTATACCCAGCCCAATAAGTGGAAGTGGAAACGTTTCAGCCTGTCCATGAAACGTTCATAACAACATATCAATCAATGTATCAACGTAACTAAAGCATACTACAGAAAAAAGGCAAATTGCTCACATTCATAACATATGCAGAAAAATCTGAAACAGGAAATGGCATCAGCAAAGTATAATTCTTTTGGTTGAATCAGTAACAGTTCCGATTTCTTGGAAAGTCAAATGTTCCTTTTTATACTACTGAATTTTCTCGGCAACCAAACAAAAGGTAAGGTATAACAGCTGTAAAATTCAATGAATATTGACGCGCAATACCAACAAACCGAATCAGACCCAGAAAATCTTACTCGTCAAAAATCCAACTTTCCCAAAGAAGAATACACGATTTTGCCAAATTTAGCTACGAATGCAATTTCCGAATGAGACGGATTTTGGAAATTACAGAACCAGAAATAAAAATAACAATATTCCGAAAGCAACCCAATTTCTCAAATCCCATTTACAAGTTCAAACGCACAACTCAAATCCCACAAACAAATCCTGCAAAAATTCACCGAAAGAGAAAAAACTATCAAATCGAAAAATTGACCAAAACCCATGTCCTAATTTTCGATTTGGTAAACGAAAAACCAGGAAAATTGAGAAAAAATCGACACAAAAAGTTAAGAGCATTTCGATCTTTCTTGCTTCCAGAAACAACTCCGCCGCACGGAAATTTATCCGACTCGTTGAAATCCAAATAACCCAGAAAATTGGGGAAAATTAAAATGCTCGCCTCGTCGTTCAAAGTTGGAATATCAAATGGAGATTCAAAGCAGCTCCGAAAACAAAAACATATGAAATATTTCTTATGTTCGAGACGAAAAGATCGAATCAGGAACTTTAATTTATATATACCTCGGGAGCCTGAACTAAAGATTTAATTTTTCAGGGGTTCTGCAAGAAAGTAACCCTAATTTTTCATCTCTGTGAAATTATCTTCAGTCAGAATTCAGAAAGGGAAAAAGGAGATGTTTCTGCCTCCAAGATAAGTGTTGTTATGTAGTGCAAGCGAGTGCAAAATTAAAGGAAGGATGCGCGTACACGTGTCAAAACCCTCTGGAAATTGAAATTGCCAGGTCAGTTTCTTTTTTCTGGTGAAAAAATGGCAGGTCAGATTATGCTGGAAAATAAAAGAAATAAGTTATTGACACTTCAAAGACATTAAGAGCAGATTAACAAACGATATTAGTAATAATATGGTTTAAATTCGTTTTTAACAGCAATCGAACATAAGATCTCTTACTTATAAGTAAAAAGAATTATCACTAAGTTATAGTACTAAATGAGATGCGGTCCATGTGAAGGATTATTTTCAACAAAAAAAAGTTAAAAAAGAAATTGCCTACAATCAGAGGATTGTTTTCTTTTTAATTATTACAAGCAAATTATTACTTGAAGCTATATTAGAGAAAGGAGGGAGAGTTTGAACTCAAAACACAACAGGTTGAAGCAAACGTTGATATCCATCAAGACAATCTATTACTTGCAGTCCAAAAATTATTAAGTAAAAACTTCCGTGAAACTGATTTTAAGCAAAGGAGAGAAAATCCATACCATGAAAATTACCTTATTGACTTTTGAGAGGCACTTGCCACAAGTACATTACGACGACTTAGACAACGTGACCCGTTACATGAGCTCTCCAATAAAATGGTTGTAGAAAGAAGAAGAAGCAAATTTGGATTCGAATTAAGATAGTGGTTTAAGTAAACTCACTTAATTAAAGAATTAGCGGACACAAGTCACAAGTAGTCGACTGAAAAGTCTGACTTCTCAGTCGACTAAAAAGTTTAACTTCTTAGTCGACTAAAAACTCTTACTTCTCGTTCTTGGTCACATGTGTAGAAGAGAAATGTTAAGAAGACCTTGTCAAAAGTGGGACTCTTCATAAATTATCGTCATTTCACATTTAACATTAATTTATGTGTCGATATTATAAAACATTATACCAAAAAATATAAGGTGGCAAAAAGTTCATGAACAATCATACAATAAAACACTAAAATTTTGAGATTAAAACACTAAAAGTGCATTTATTTATTATTTATTTATGTATCAAATTCGAAGGTGGGTATATGTTCTTTGGTCATTTGATAATCGAAAGGATATTCATGAGTTGAACGGATTCTAAAGAAAATGGTGGTGTGGTTATTGGAGCAACGGCTGGTCAAGTTTGGTGACTTGTACTTAGGATTTGACCTTAGACTTTACTTTTAAAAGAAAATTAATGAAAAGGGTTTGAAAATTTTGAGATTTAACGATAAAGACAAAATAAAGTGTAAAGTGAATAGTATTATGATTGACTTTTTAGTGTAAAAATGTGATTTTTCGTTAAAATGAATAATACATCGGGTTTTTTTGTTAAAACTCCCTACTTTTAAAGGCCATTTGCTGCCGTGTACATGCGTTCCAAGTAACCTTAACCCACTTGTTTAGGTTTTAAGGCCTATCCCAAGAGAAGAATATACCAAAACATGAAAAATAAAATGAATAGAATACAAGAATTTCCATGTTAAGGGTGTAAGTATTTCACAATTCTAACTTTTTTTATACAAGCAATATTAAACGATGGAGATTTGAACACATATTTCGATAAAACAATGAAAGATTTTAAGCAGAGCTACAAGTCCTTTTACGCTCAACACAAAGGTTGAGTCGACAATTTTGTTTTTCTTTTCTTTTCAATAATATTAGTCTCACCAAATTAGCTCGTTATACTAACATGTTAAATTCACGCATCATATATTGATTGATAAAAAAATATGAGATGTAGAATGGACTCATATTTGAACAAGTAAAACAACATAATATCTTTGGTGAATAATTAAAATAAAGTAAAGTATTTGGTATTTATAATAACATTTGTTTCTTGGAGTGCTATTTGCACCCGTAGAAGATAGAAATTTCAGTTTGAAGGTAATTAGGCTAGATGAGATAGCCTTCTGTATATTTTCATTCTATATTAAAACAAAGCGAGTTTGAGATGAAACCACTCTTCTGAAACATAAAAAAATAACAAAGAGATAAATGGAAATTACAAAATTCATAATTCAAAAGTTAACACTTAAAACTTGCATGTTAACAAATTAAAATAATAAACACTCGTGGAGCTTTTGGTACAAATGTAAAGTGAATTAAACTCAGAGATACAAGTGGTTCAACTCTTAAACTGGGCTACATCCACGGTGGTGCTAGGATTCATAATCATATTAAGATTGGCATGTTGGGGCTTGGTGGCTTAGTGGCTTGAAGCCGCAGCTCGCCTGGGTTTTTCAAACTTTTTTTTTTTCTTTCAATTCACATAATAGCAATATTATGGGTATGTATAATGCATAAACAATTTATGTAGAATCTAAAATTCTTAAAACGTAAAGTTTGGTCTTGCATTATGATGAAGGTTCATTTAATCAGGGCTAAAAAAATAACGAGATAAGAACCGTTGTTTTGGAAAGATTTCCAAGTTATACAAAGTTTAATAGGAAAGCTCTTCTAGATCCTGAAGAATTCCTAATTTATTTCTACTTAGGATTTACACAATCACACATGTATTAGAATATATATCACAACAATGCCCCCTTAATTATATTAAGGAAACTTTAAAACGTAACATGATATGGTTGAAAACGCTAAAAATGTTTGATTTTACGCATTACAAGTGAAATCATGTGTTTTAAATGTCGCAAATTTATGTTTGATTTCAATTAGTATTATGGTCTAATGATATTTCTCTTGTAAGTAAGAGATCTCAAGTTTAACTTACATGAATGACGAAAATGTATTATACACGTGTAAGATTCGATACCCGTTTTTGGTTAGCCACCCTTAGAGACTTAAGGTGCTTTTGTTGTACCAGACTGTCTCGGACTGGACTAGCTGCAGGAACTAAGCTGAACTGGCTTAGACTAGACTAAGCTGAACTGGCTTAGACTAGACTAAGCTGAACTAGCTTAGTGAAGCGTTTGGTGCAGTGTCGGACTACGAAGCAGGATAATGAAAACAGTACTATTCACCAGATTTGTGTTTGCTTAGACTAGGACTACATTATTGTTCTATTTTAATAGCTCCAATTACATGTGCCCAAAGCCCTAAGATTTTTGTCATTGTGTAATATAATAGAGTAATGCTACAAATCTCATGATATGGGTTAATTGGAGCATATTTTTGCCATGTATATTATGAATCTTAAAAAAAGAGGACAATTGTTTTGTTTTTAGTACCTGCTAATATAATTGGGACATATTATAGTTGAGTTTAAGATGGCAAATTGGTGATCAGATATTTATAAATTTTCAGAATTCTTCATCTTATCATATAATGAGCAACATTACATTTCAAGTGGCTGAGACTCCCCCACCCCTTAAGGCACATTCAAGCAGCAAAGTGAGTGTTTAGGAACTTGAACTATGGAATTTCTCAACTCTATTATATATAAAGGCTTTTGCAGCTAAGCTCTCACTGGCTTATGGGATCCGTGTACACAAACCCTGAGCTTTTTTAATCCACATCCCTTCTCTAAGCTCTTTTAATCTGCAAATCTAGCTTGGTTTAAACTCTTATCACCCAAAAGAAGAAAAAGAAGAGTGCCCAATACATGCAACTTCAACAAATGAAGGTACGTAAGAAGATACTTGTGACAAGTCAATCTTTGCCATTGATTGACTCTCTAAAACATCATCCACTAAACTTTCATCTAGGATATTTTACAAAATGCTAGTTAACTATAGTATAGCATTCCAAAGTAGATCTCCATAATTTACAAAATCCTAGTTAACATTAGCCAAAATACTTCATAGTACAAAGCTAAGTTAGAAGCCATAACCTAAGATTGTACGATTAATAAAATACATCCATGTCAAAAGGCACCACATAATATACTCATCCGCTTGCTTTGTCGCTTAAAAGCCTTTGGACAAACACTTTCTTGAGTTTCGAATCGATTGCCCTGAACACTCCCACATTTTGTGGTTTTTCCAAAATAAGAGTCAATGCGCATCAATTTGATCCATAGGAGAAATACCTATTGCTCTAAGTTCGTTAGCTATGTCACCATGATCTGCAGTACCTTGAACTAAAGCTTCAGTTACCATTTGCATCCTTTTCCCACTTTCAACATAAAATTCTTTCAGTCCACTGATAATTGCCTCGGTTCCATCACTTGAACTTCTCATAGCTCTTTTCCTTTTTCTTTGGCTATTTTAGATGGGGTGCTTTGTTGGCTTTGTTGGTTTATTGGAGAAACAACATTTTCACCTTCAATATCACTTGCACCAACCTGATCATGACTTTGTTCTTCCATCTTTTGAACAGGGGTTTCGGCTACATTACCTGTAGCCGGATCCTTTCCAAATATATATGCAAATCTATCATACAGTGGAAACAGTTTGCTTCTCCATCCATCGGCTTCTTTATTTTTCTAAGATTATATCAACATAGAAAAACTAAAATTTAGCATGCGTAACAAATATAGCTGCAAGAATATAACTAATGTATAAATAAAGGGCAAAAGATTGTTTACTACCCTCATGTTTCATGATTTTCAACATTTAGTACATCAAGTTTTTTCGTCCCAGAGTCATACCTAAAGTGTAAATTTTGAGATAGTCTCATACATCCGTTAGTCAAACTGTTAAGTTTCCCGTTAAGTGATGACTTGACACCCATGTGGACAATGACTAGGCGCCACGTGTCATTAAAGGGTCCACGTGGATTTTTTATTTCTTTTTCTTCTTCTTTTTCTTCCTTTCTTCTCTTCAGAGAAGGGGTTCACCTTCACCCCTCCCGACCCCCTCCCTTCTTTTCCCTCTCTTCTCTTCCCTACACCCATCCTTCCTGCACCCTCTCTC